CGAAAGGGCGCTAAGGCACCCTCCGCGAGCTTGGTGAAGACCTGCGGAGACAGAGAGAGCCTGGAGGGGAGGACTTTGTATTGCTAAGCTCAACCTTAGAATGCGAACCGCAGAAAACGATGGTGATGTGGAAGAATGGAGACATGGAAGTACTCGTCCTTCAGGTCTATTGCTGTATATCAATCCTGAGGTTGAACTTCTGCGTGAGCATTCTGAATGGCAGCTTGTGCAGACAGCGTTTCAAAGTGCACAGATCTAGGATTGGCCAAAACTCACCGCTCTTTTTGATGAAGTACGAGCTGAAAATCCGCTCTCCATCTCGGCTGGAGGGACCGGCTCAAAGGCATGCTTCGCCAGGAGGACAGTAATCTCCTCTCACAAGACAGGGGCAAACAGGGGGCTGACCCTGGTGAAATACACACCTGTAAACTTTGGGGGTCGTTTTGCAAACTAAATCGCATCGTCTAGTCTGATTGTCCGTATGAGCCACCGCGAAGGGCTGGCCCACGCTAACCAGGCAGGAAGAGCTCTCACTAATGGACTCATCGCTACAATTGCTGACGTACCAGCAGTGGGGCAACACGGAGTGGGTGTGCTTATGCGGGAAGCGTGTGGGTCCCGAGGAAGAGCTGGAGGCGAGAGATTCACTCTCGCCTCGCACCCAAGCTCCGAGGGGGGACTCAAGGGGTGGGAGAAAGGAGACTGTCCTCCCAGCGCCTGTGAGCCACTGGCGAAATGCACAGGACCTGCGACCTGGAAGGCATAGCTTCCTAGACTGGCAGAGTTCGGGCTGTCATATCCAGGGAAGTGGAAATGTGCTCTTTCATTGATGTTTGCATGGCAGTGAAAAGTGCCATTGAAAATGGGGTCGGGCCCTCCAGCAGGAAAAGAGCAAATTCCCTCTCCTCCGCATTACCTGTCTCAGGTATGCTTTGTGGTCCGTTACCGGACTTAACGGCACCCTGGGCAGGGGGGGCTGTCTGCTTCCGAGGTGCTCGACGAGCCTGCTTTGCTGGAGGTGCAGGCGGGGGCAGGGCAGCTATCTTAGATGGGCGCCCATCTAGTTGGTCCGACCGCGGGGGTGGGGGATAAACCATCTCCAACCCCACAGCCGAATCAGCCCGGGAAAGCACAGCTAACATGTCCATTTTAGGATCTGTATTGTCAGTGCTCACCTGCCCGGAGGGGGCGAGCGAGTCTGGATCCTCATCGGACAATAAAGGCCCACCTTCCGATGCAGCAGTGGACATCTGGTCCCTGGTGTCATCGAACGTATGGGCTACCATCTCTTTAGACGGATCGCTTCCTCCACTTGAAGCTTGGATGGAGCATTTGGGGGAGCGGGAGGTCCACAGGCCCGGAGGCGATGGATAATCTTTCACTGGAACCCTCAGATCTGCCCAAGTGCCCACTGCAGGAAGAGGGAAAAGCCCAGCTTGATTGTCTGTCGCAACGTGTATGCACTCTGGACCAGGAGACCACTCTTGTTCATTTGAAATCGCTGGATAACAGCAGGAGGAACCCTCATCGACTCTCTCAGAAGGCTGTAGAAATCTCTGAAGTAAAAAAAGGTTGCCTCATCTTGCTTTCGCTGTGCTTTTAGGCTAAATTGATTGCAACAAGCTTTAGGTGCGCAAGCTGACACTGCCAATTCATTTGGCATTTCATTGGCCCGTTGTAACGACAAGCCTGACACGGGGGGATCCATTTGCAGTATTTAATTGACACAGTTCAATCACAATCATACAATACGCACTAAAGTGCGAACTCACATCAACAGTTTGCAATAAGGATTGAAGGGCTGGCAGCTGACAGACACAGAGTGATATAACAGGCATGGATCAGTGGCAGGCGGCGTGGTTCAGAGTCCAGATACAAGCAAGGTTCGGGGCAGGCAGAAGGCAACTCAGAGTCAGAAACAGTCCGGGGTAATACACAGGAGATCAGGCAAGGGAATAACGCTCAGAGATGTTAGCCGTGGCGGAACAAGACTTCGCACTGAACTGGTGTTTGAGCGTTGCTTATAACAGGGAGAGTGGGTCAATAGCGGGACTGATAACAGGTGTGTGCGCAATCAGTTTAAGTGGATGATGTAATGCTAAAAGTCCGGAGATGGTGGCCTCTGCTGGGCAGTGAGGGGAATGACTGGGACCGAGTCGGTGACACCCGTTTACATACTCTTTCAGACGATTGGATTTCTGAATGAAATCCCCATACGTGGATTAAATCTACTGTTAGCCTTGAAGTTTCCCATCTGAAGGGGAACATTGTGGTTGCCCAAATAAAGCAATTTAAATTAATATGCTTCACTAGGGTAAGCTGTGTTTACATTTATTACACATCAACACGGTTCAAATTACGGTTCAATACGGTTCAAATTAATTTTGTTCATGATTTTATTTGTTTAAAATTAGTTAAATATAATGCAATTTTATTTATTTTTAATTTTTATTTATTTATTTCTTTTTGTGAATAATGGAGGGGAAACATTTCCAAAATCTACTGCTAATCTTACCTTTATATTCATTTTTGATGAGTTAACATGGTTATTTCTTGAGTTATAGTTTATTCCTGCGAAATTTTGACAGCAAATATAATGAGATTTTGTTTTAAAGCATTCAGACCTAACATTTTCACTCAGTATAACAGTTATCAATTATAACTGTTTTTCTCAGTCGCTTTGGTCCATTTCTCAGATCAGAATTGAAATTCTCAAAGCTACATGTTTAATCTGCAGCTCGTTGTGTCACTTGTGCACATCAAAAAAGCAGTTTCTCATTCCATTGAACAAGCTGCAAATGCTTTTGTACATCCATTTAAAAGATAATGTGCAATTTTCTGATGTCATGTTGATCAAAATGTAATATAATGCTCTTTGTTGGAATAGTCTCACCCCTTACATTTATTAATTTGTTCATAACAAAACTCTTTACATGCAAACTACATGGCAGAACAAGTTGTAATGTACCAACGTGACTAAGAGAAACTGTAATTAATTTGCATAATAAGTGAGTAAAGCAGTTGTAAGATGGATCTGTTACGTCGAGTAAATATTTTTTTATATAGTTACACCCATAGTTCATTAATAATTTCAATTCTTTAAAAGCAACTGCTTTACTCACAGTTTTTCACAGTCACTTTGGTGCATTTCTGACAACACTATTTACATTTGCACAACAGTTAATACATGTCTCAAAATTTGTGCAAACTGCAAAACAGTGGATAACCTGCAAAAGCATGTCACTTGTTTAAAATGTGCATCTCATTCCTTAAAAGCAAGTATTGTTGTCAGAGAAAGTGTCAGTGTCATCAAGATCAAAAGTCCTGACACCATTGTTTGTGAACAAAATAGTCAAATGGCTTTGACCAGTTTTCATTATGACTTTACTCTGTACATTACTCTGCAAAAAGTCAGATTATGGTGACACTTCCTGAAAATGCTCAAGACAGCACTATATACTATTTGCACAGCCATTTGAAAACTACAGTAAAGTTAGACGTTGCTGCATTTAATGAGGTATCTGAGTACAAGACACTGAATATGTATGTTTCACAATTTTACAATTCCAAAAAAAAAAAATAAATACACCCTTATTCACAACAAACATAAAACTCCTTTGTGTAGAGCTGTGCACAACTGTAAACAATGTTGCAGAACATATTGAAACTGAACCTACAATATACACAAGTCTGTAAATAATTCATGAAATTGTTCAATTTAGAAGACATGTTCAGGAAAGCAATATTTTTAAATGTTTTATAAAATTTGCAAAATTAAGTGCTGTTTTGAACAAAATATAAAAAATAGCATGCCCACCTCCTCCTCCTTTGATAATGTTGAACAAAACATTAATTCATTCATTTTTGGCTTAGTCCCTTTATTCAACATGGGTCACCTCAGCGGAATGAACTGCCAACTTGTCCAGCATATGTTTTACACAGTGGATGACCTTCCAACTGTTTATTTAATTCACCTGTACCGCATGTCTTAAGATTGTGGGGAAAACCAGAGCACCCGGAGGAAACCCACACAAACACGAGAAGAATATGCAAACTCCACACAGAAATGCCAACTGACCCAGCTAAGACTCGAACCAACAACCTTCTTGCTCTGAGGTGACAGTGCTAACCACTAAGCCACCATGTTGTCCTTGAATAAAACATTACAACTAAAATGAACTATAGTTTGATATTTTTTATTAAAATTATTTTTATGAGCTTTGTTATGGTAGTAAACATTCATTCATTTTCTTGTCGGCTTAGTCCCTTTATTAATCTGGGGTCGCCACTGCGGAATGAACCGCCAACTTATTCGGCAAGTTTTTACACAGGGGATGCCCTTCCAGCCGCAACCCATCTCTGGGAAAGGTGGTAAACATTCACCATAAAATTAAAATAAGTGTACAATGAGTGTATGTTTATAATGCACACAAGAAACTTAAAACCTAAAATAAAGTGCACGTTTTTTAAAGTGTGTTCAGAAACAATTAAGGGGATAGTTCACCCAAACTTGCAATGATCTAATGTAGACCTTTTTTCAATATAACATTAAAGCAGATTTTTAGTTGGAACTGTTCTCTGATGATTCATTAAAAGGCAGTTGGCACTTTGACAGACAGACAAAAAAAATAAATAAATAAAAATAACAAAACAATATGAATTCCCGAGGCTGCTGATGATACTGTACACTCAGGTCTAACGATAAATTGAAATGCTTTGTCTGTGCAAGAAAACAAAACATTACAACATCACCTTTAATCCACAGCTTCTAAAAATAAGTATATTATACTTAAGTATATTCATAAGACATCAATATATTGACTCTCAAAGTGCTATTGACATGCATTATTCAGTAATAATCAGCAATAACCTTTATTTGATCTTTAATGTAAAAAGAAAAGGCTCAAGTATGAATAAATTAACAGCAAATAAAACTTTCTGTGTAAACTTTCACAGTAGTATTTAATTTCATGATTTCTGTATTGTGGTGTGCTATTCAGACTTTACAAAGGCCATGCCGGCTACTGCAGCACATACAGAGGTGATGTGTGTCGTAATGTGCTTCGGCGAGATGCTCTGGTGTTCTTCAACTACTCTCTACCGAACCCTGAGGATGCGCAGGAGTATCTGGCTCAGAGTGCATGGCCTGAGCTGGACGGGGTCAGTTCATTCTGCAGACCTGCTGCCAGATCCCTGCTCTGTCACAGCACCTTCCAGGACTGCAATCCTTCAGGACTCGGACCAGCGCCTAAACCTGTCTGCAGGTAATCGACATCTTCTTTTTTTGTTTTGTTTTTGGAGTGCATTTATATACTGTACTCTATGCAGAATGTACAGTAAAGAAAACTGATTTTTTTTCAGTAATTTTGTGATATTCATCATTCAAATTGTTTTAAATCGTTTTAGTTTAGGTTAAATTACGCGAGTGGCACAATCTTTTACACTAATTTAGCAATTCCAGCAATATGGATGTAAAATGGCAGTAAACACTTGAAACATAAATTCAAAGAAATAGTCTAAGTATATTTACATAGACCATTTCATTGTGGTCATGTCATTCGCCCATTAACATTTCCTTTTGTCAAACTACAGTATTTCATAACTGTAACAAGATGCAATTCGATCATAACTTATTGTTAAAACAGCTATCAAAACATTATTTATCATTATGTGACTCTTTTTGGATTCTCAGAAGCTTTAGACATAAAAACTGTAAAACAGGAAATACATTGGGACCATAGTTTTTGTTTATATCCCTCAAAATGGTCTAAAAACAGTATATTAAAACATCTGCTTATTTTTCTTTCCCAAAACAACTAACAACAGAGCAAAAAAAACAATCTGGAAACTTTTTTTTAATTTTTAATAAAGGAACTAAATGTGTTATGGATTTGACCCAAAAAATTATGTGAGATAACAGTATACAACATTATTTTGAAAGTTTGTGAATCAAACTGCACAACCTAAAAAAAATACTAATCAAAAGAATATAGAATTTTTATAAATTTATTTATTTTACAGTGTTTGATTTTACATTTTCGCATTTCTGAGGAAAAAAAAGCTTCATTATTGAGGTGAATAATATAAAAATTGACGTTGACATATATGTTGAAGTATTTTTACATTATTGTAAAATACAAGCTTACACAAACAACTCAGAAAGGGTTTCGCTAATTTAGGGAAAACTTTTTTTTCATGGAATTATATCAGCATTCAAAATATGTATTGGTAATTGCATCAGTTAAAAAGCTGTATAAAAAAAAAATAAATAAAAACAATGAAACTTATCAGTGAAAATGTTAAGAGGTCGGGCCTGCTGAAGGAGCTTCAAAAAATAAACATCTGAATTCACTCTGAAATGTATGTGGATAAGAGATCCGACACCTAAAAAAAAAAAAATTCTCATTTTAATCAGTGATCTTTTTCAAATATATATGTACTGATCAAAAGTTTGGCCTTGGGTCAGTTTTTAATGTTTTATTTTATTTTTTTAGAAAATTATACTGTTTATCAAGAAATTGTAATAAAAAAGTTAAATTGTTAAATCATTGTTAAAAATTTAAATAACTGCTTTCTTATTGTTTGTAGTTTCAAATGCAGTTATTATGCAGTCATTATTGCTTTTATTACTTTTATCATCATTATTATTATTATTAGTAGTAGTAGTAGTAATAATAATAATAATAATAATAATAATAATAATAATGTGACTGAAGACTGGAGTAAAGAAGCTGAAAACTCATCTTTAAAATCACTTGAATAAATTATTTAATAAAATTATAAACAACTTTACAATTTGTTCTGTATTTTGGAGGAAACAAATACAGCGTTGCTGAGCAGCTTATTTTACAGCATTAGAAAATTGTACTGACCCCAGACTTTTGACCAGTAGTGTACACTTTAATACTGTGCTTCGGTATACAGCACCTGAAATATGCTTAAAAATGCTCTTTTACCCCTGTTATGTTGCTTCCTAAACAACAGTTCAACCAAAAATAAATATTTTGTCATTGAATACTCACCCAATGCTGTGCCAAACCTGTAAAACCTCAGTTCATCTTCAGATCATGAATTAACAAACCTTAATTTGTGTTACAAAGAATCTGGGGTTTTAAAAATATGTCTAATAGACATTTAAACATGATCGTCTTGGCTAAAACAAGGCTAAATTTGGGCTGACAATAAAAATCTAATAGACATCAAAGAATAGGCCAAAACTAGACTAGTCATCACATAAACAGAACTTAATGACTACACATATAGCCTGTCTAATTTGTCTATTTGACGACTATTCTAGTTTTAGGCTATTCTTAGATGTCTATCAAATGTTCAATGACAGCCCAAATTTAGCCTTGTTTTAGCCAAGCTGTCGACGTTTAGATGTTTTTTAGACATCCATTAAATAAAAAAAGTGTTTGCTGGGAAACAAAGGTTGTATACATACATCAAAGTCAAACTCATGCCTTAATTAAAAAAAATAAAATAAAAAACCAATTCCAACAACATACAGAAAAGACCCAAATATATACATCGTAAGTAATCATTCTGAAGATGCTGTCATTTATCCAAGGCAACTTAATATAATGTAGATCAAATATCATGCTTACAAAAACAATAGTGGTCAACCCAGAAACCGACAGCTTTTTAAGCCTTTGCCTTAAACCTAACCAGTAACCACTACCATGTTATTTTTACATATGTATTTATATCTCCATTGTGCTGTTGTGTCACAGAGAGCACTGTCTCACAGTCAAAGAGCTATACTGTTATAAAGAGTGGCGTTCCGCTGAAGAAAGATCTCAGCGTGGCTTTCAACACATCACTCTCCCAGAATGCACTTCTCTACCCAGCCAACAAGCAGATCCATCCTCCTGTACAGCGGTTCCTTATGTTGGTAAGAGTGACACGCATTTTCCTGTGGGCTGCTGTTTGGCTACATCTTTGTTTAGTTGTGATATTTTGGGGCTGATGTTCATAAAGCATCCGTCCCCTGAAAACAATGGGTGTTAGCGGAAAAACGCCACGCATGTTTTTTGCCAGGACAATGCTGTAGGGTTTTTTTGTTTATGTGAAATGCTCTGTGAGGAATGTGATGACAGCGGACCTGTAGATGGACTAGATTAGGGTGGTTTATGGCCATGCGTGTGAGGAAGGATCAGTAGGACAGCTGAGTAAATGTTCCCAACCAAAAGTTTCCATGGCGTGTTTGCAGGCTGCTATACTCGTGAGCTGTAAAAATCTGTACAAAACAGAATTTAAATACAGTCATAAAGTATTTAACTGTGTTGTGTGCATTTTTGGAAACTTGTGAGATATTGTTAAAGTTAACAAAATCGATTAAAATATATGTTTGTGTGTGTTTCAGATATCAAAAAAGACCAAGTTACATGTAAGTATTACTATATTTTAGCTTTGCATACAGTATAGTGGGGTCTAAACGTCTGAGATTGCATAACTAACCGCCTACTGACCAACTAAAATACTGGATGTGCAATATGAGATTTATTATTGTCTACAGAAACTGATCTACTATAAGCTGCAGTATTTTTTATATACACTGTAAAACCCAATAAGTTAATGCAACTCAAACAATTTGAGGAAACTGATTGCAACGAATCATTTAAGTTAAAAAAATAATCCTAATAAGTACTGTAAACTTAATCTATTTGAGTAAATGAAGCAATTTGAGCAAAGTAAAACCCAATAAATAAATAGAACTCAAATCAACTGAGTACTGTAAAACCCAATAATTAAGGCAACTCAAAGCGCTTGAGGAAACCAATTGCTACAAACCATTTGAGTTAAAATAAAATACTCCATTTAAGTTGAAGTAATGAGATATTTAATTAACTCATTACCTTCAACACTGAGTTCAAAACTCTTTTCAAATGAGTAGAATTAACTTTAAATTAATTTTGAGTTAACTACACTCATTTCATTTGATAAAAGGGACTGTTGTGTTTCACAGTGTACTTATTTTGTGACCAACATGGTAGAAACATGACAAAACATGCTAATTTATGTTAGCAGCACAGTAAACATGCAGATGACTGGTAAAGAACATGCTGAGATGTTATCAACATGCAGATATTAGCATAGTGATAAACGTTAGAAAATGTTAAATAAGCAACAAATATGTTAGCCTGTGCAAAAACATTAAAAATCAAGTACCATCAACATAAAACATGTTATCCCAAGACACGTTGGAAAAGTATAATTGATGTTATCAACTAGTTAACATGTTAATTGTGTTACTGCTACAACCATGCTAGCAACATGGTAATATCAAATTAAAAACATACATAGTGTTAAACATACTAGCAACATTCAATTTTGTGCTAGCAATGTGTTAAACATGCTAGAAATATGTTAGAAGCATGCTTAAAATGTTAACCAGTTGTATAGCATGAAACATGCTAGTTTCTGTTAGCAGTAGTGTACAAACAATACTGAAAATATGTTATCAGAATGCCAAAATACATTAGCCTTCTTCTTGTTTTATGGCGACTAACTCATTAAAAGCATTACCGCCACCTACTGAAAATTAGAAAGGGGTAGGAAAAAGGCCACAGAAAAAAAGAAAAACTTTGGATGTTTTACATTCTCCAATCATTCAGACCCCATATTCATGTCAGTGCTGCATATTCAGCTCTTCTAACATATAGGGTTGTTATGTCCATGATTGAGAATACTCTCATACATAAATATTAGCCTATAATCTAGAACCTAAACCTGAATCTTCTATATACCTATTAAACATATATACATACTTACCAATGCATTATACCTTATCCTAAAATAGTTTTATACATCATTTTGTCTTCCACACAATGACTAAATAACATATCACAATGTTTGTTATATTTGCTACATAGCCTATAAAAATATAATAATATTATATAATACATAATCCACATTTTCAGTTACACCACATTTCATGTACATCACATTTTCCATTTTCATGTAGACACATTAATGCAAGTGTTGTTTCTAACCCTATGTTTTCCAATCTTAAACGTGATAACCATAAATTAGCCAGGTGTAAACCATGCTAAAAATATGCAAATTCATGCTGGCATAGTATATATACTCTCATAAACTCTCCAGCTTTCTTTTGTACTTACATGTTACTTTATAAAAGACCCAAAAGAGTTCATATAAAATAATGCATATTATTAATAAAAGATGCACATGCTAAGCAACATTTGAAAAACACAATAGCAGCTAATTAGCAGAAAGGGGTGTGTCTAATCATTATAATTTACATATAAAAAAGAAGTGAGGTCTTGTGTTATGGTAATGTTTGCTTTAGTGCTTTCACATATTGACATTATTTGGCAAAAAAAAACTGTTAAAACTGAAGAAAATGCAAAACATATTAAATATTAACAAAAATACATTTAATGTTTATTGAATAACTCAATTTTCTTCTAGGTCAGACTATAATATTCAACATGCAAGCATCCCAACACATTTAATCATTTACAATTGATATATCTACAGCAACCTGCTACAATGACAAAGGAAGGTTTTACCAAGGAACACACAATGTCACAGCATCGTCCATTCCATGTCAGCGATGGAACCAGCAGGTAAATGTTTGTACTGCAAAAGTCAGCATAAAATCACAAAGTTATGTCACAGTTTATGTTGCAAATAATTATCCATTATTCTGTTGTGAATGTGTATTTAGTGTATGTCATTTTAATGAAGGGTGTGCTTAAAAGTGTTCTATTGTAAATCATTGTGTTCTGTCTCCTGTTTGCTTAAACTAATGTCACCAACCCAAGTAGCAAAGAATTCTGGCCCAGATTTGGCATAAAGCTGGCATGCCAGGCATTCATCCGACACTGGCATACAGCATGTGGGCCAAACATGGCCCAGATGTAAAATGTAGCATTTGGCCCAGAAATTAAAAATTCTAAACACTCCTAGGATGCTGGTGGGAGAGGACGCTGGCGCAACCTGCCGCTTCTCTGCCAGATCATGTTGATTTAGTTGATTTTGCAGTTCATGTATACCAGGTGCTCTTTTTTTATGATCTTGTGGCTCTAAAACAGGCTGCACCGCGAACTTTGATCGGAATTGGAACATTATTTCCTTAGACGCCAATTTGTCTACCTGTTTTTGCCCCCTGGCTAGTCTGTGTTTGTGGCTAGCATGCGGCTATGCTACGTTTTTACCTCCTTTATCCTGGTTTTTATTGGAGTACATGTCAAGGCCTATATCGGTCACCTGGTTTTTAACATGTACACCTACTCTGCTATTGAACTTTACCAACTTGAAAGCACTTTGCTGCCTGCCAATGATGTGTTGCGCACGCTACATTCACTGAAACTTCTTCGGTGCCCAAGATGTACGCACAGGAGCTCTTGCCGAAATCTTCACAGATCTGCATAGCTGGTACAATTAGTACGGTGTGGTCTCAAAGGCGTATGGATCGTTGTGGCTTATCGTCTTCGGAGGTCTTCTGCTATCAGTGGAGCCCACCTCAATACAATCAGGTTTGCACCATTGAGTGCTCGCTCTATAAATAATAAAGCAGCCTCGATTTGTGATCTAATTGTGGACAATAAGCTTGACTTTCTCTCTCTCTGTGAAACCTGGCATCAGCCAAATGACTACCTTAATCTAAATATGTGCGCTCTACCTGGCTACACATATTTTGAGCAGCCACGTTCAACTGGCCATGGTGGTGGCCTGGCAGTTGTTTACTGATCCAATGTGTCAGTTACTGAAATAGCCTTCCCTTCCTTTCCAACTTTTGAATGCTTGATGTTTAAAGTGTCTGGTTCATCCCAAGTGCTGATTTTAAATATATATCGCCCTCCTAAACCCAATTCAGATTTTTACTCTGAATTTTCTGAATTGTTGACACTCGCCAGTGCTCACTGCCCTGCTCTCCTTTTAATGGGTGATATGAACTTTCATGTTGACAATGCTGACTGTGTTCATGCTGCATGCTTAATGGACATCTTGGACTGTTTTAATCTGACACAGCACATTCATTTTCTGACACACAAACATGGTCACACATTGGACTTGGTTTGTTCCACGGGAGTGACTATTCACTCACTTGTTGGTATGGAAGTATTGATCAGTGACCATACGCTTTTCACTTTCAATCTGATCACACCCTCCACACAGATTGTGATTATTTCATTTGGATAACTTGGAAAAAATGAACTATGATCATCTTCGGGAGTCTGCTGGTGAATTATCTCCTTTGACATCTGTTGACTGGTACAATCTTGTTTTTAAACATGTGTTAGGTGACTTGGCCCCCCTGAGAAGTCGCGTTGTAACGTTTAAAAGATCAGCTCCATGGTATAAAAATGATCTACGGAAAATGAAAGATGTTGTCAGGCAATTGGAGCAGAAATATGTTAAAACTGGGCTCACATTTCATAATTCTCTGTTTGATCAGCATCAAACTGATTATCACAATGCTCTTACAGCAGCTAAGAGGGAATTCTACTTAAGAGCTATTAGTAGTAATAGTTCTAATTCCAGAGTTTTATTCCGTACAGTTAACATTTTGATCAGACCCTCTCATAACTCCCTCCCTCCCACTATAGAGCGATGTAATGAGTTTCTCAATTTTTTCACTGAAAAAAAATTTATGACATATTTAACTCTATTGCCTGCGATCATGCTCTTGTCCCTGTTGAGCTTCTTCCTTCTGTGTTTCTTATCAGTCATCAACTTTTAACACTGTGGACTCTGATTCTATTGCACGTATTGTACTGTCACAGAATTTTTCCACCTGTACACTTGATCCATTCCCCACCACTATTTTGAAGCAGTCTGTATCTGTCTTTTAGCCCCACATCACTGCCATTGTTAATGCATCCCTCAGTGATGGGATTGTTCCACTAGCATTGAAGATGGCTGCTATAACACCGGTTCTTAAAAAGCCTGGCAGCGACACTACACTGTTGTCAAACTATTGACCCATCTCAAATTTACCATTTGTGGCTAAAGTCCTGGAACGTGTGGTGGTAAGCCTACTCCATAACTATCTTCATGTAAACACTCTATTTGAGAAATTTCAGTCTGGTTTCAGAGCTGGTCACAGTGGGGCTTGTGCCATTCTCGTCTTATTAGATCTCACGGCTGCTTTTGACACCATATGTCACATAATACTGCTGGGCAGGCTCAGGAAGTGGATTGGTTTGTCTGGTACAGTTTTTAGCTGGTTTGTCTCTTATCTCGCTGACCGCTCTCAGGCCCCCTTTAAACTAGTGCGTTTTAGTTTTAAAACAGCGTTTTAGAATGAAAATGATCCGCGTCCACACTAGCGTTTTACCCAGCGTTTCTGAACAGCTCTCTGTCCACACCAAAACGCTGAAAACTCACATCATGTGACCACACACACACTCTCGGGCAAGCGCTGTGCTGGTAGGACTGCTCATCAAGCATCTCCCGCTGGATCTAATCTCACTATATTTGCTAAACGTAATATTTAATTAATCTTGTTGTCTATATCTAACCACATATTCCCTGACTTTGGTCTTTTGAATCGATTACTAGTTCATAGGTAACGTGTTTCGGCTGAGCGCAAAGATAAGTTAATAATTAATGTAACCTCGTACATTCTGTATATTGACTGATCGCTTGCCTTTATTTCCAATAATGTATAAACTTATTGTGTGTTATACTTTCATAATGGCTATTATTGTTTATTAAAACTGACATTCAGCAAAGCAGAGGATACGTTTCGTATTTTCGAATTCAGCATTTCAGTTGTCTGTTAAGTTGTTAATATAAAAAAAACATAGGTAGTTCCTTAAATCATGTTTCATTTTATTGCTGAGAAAGTGAGACAACGTAGCCAGGATGATGTAAATAAGGTTATAAAGTACTCTGTTCCCTGTGAAGATTTACCAGACATGTCCTTGAGGGTCTGTTTTCTATATCAAACTTGTGAAGTCTGAACTTACAGGGAGAGGATGCGACACTGAACTGTGTGTGTAGGCTACTTAATATTGAGGAAAAGCCCCAATCAGGCGAATGTCTGCAGCCCTGCCTCCCTTTTCAGATGTCTCAGTTTTCCCCCATCCACACTGAGACGGAGCAGCAGCGTTTTAGAATGAAAACGGCCTCTCCAGCGTTTTCAAAACACTCTGTTTTCGGCGCTCGAAAACTCCGGCGTAGTGTGGACGAATGGCGTAACCATAGAAAAACGTATGCGTTTTAAAACGGAAACGCATTAGTGTAAACGGGGCCTCAGTTTGCCTGTTTGGGTGCTCATAAATCTCGGACGTTCCCATTGCATCAGGGTGTTCCTCAGGGGTCTGTCCTTGGTCCACTGCTGTTTAGTATTTATATGTTGCCTCTTGGCTAGATTATGAGTAAATATGGCTTGGGGTACCATTGCTTCGCTGATGACACTTAAATCTATGTTAGTGCTCACCCCGATCTTAACACTGCTTTGCAGTTTTATCTGCCTGTCTTTTAGAAATTAAATCTTGGATGAGTCTAAACTTCCTTAAATTAAACAGTTCCAAGACTGAGGTCTTATTAATTGGCACCCCTACTAAGGTTAGCCAGCACAAGGATTTTACACTTTTGGTTGATAATGTTCAACTGTCTCCTTCTACCCAGGTGCGTAATCTTGGGGTGCTCTTTGATGCACAGCTCAGTTTTAACTCCCACTTCAAACACTTTACAAAAACTGCCTTCTTTCATCTCCGCAATATTGCACGGATCAGACCATTTCTCTCACGACCTGATGCAGAGAGGCTTATCCATGCCTTCATCACATCACGTCTGGATTTCTGTAATTCACTTTTTGGGGGTTTACCTGCAAGTTCTCTCAGAAGACTACAATATATACAAAATTCTGCTGCATGGGTTGTAACACACACATCATCACGCCACCATATTACTCCTGTGCTACAACAATTACACTGGCTTCGTGTTAAATCATGGATTGATTTTAAGACCTTGATTTTAACTTTCAAAACAGTGCATGGGTTAGCACCCAGCTACATCTGCGACCTGGTAACCCTCGCCACCCCAGCCCCCAGTCTTCGTTCTGCATCGGGACTTACTTAGCATCAACCACGGTGTAAACTCAAGACCATGGGTGGGGCTTTTTCACTCAGTGCGCCTACGCTTTGGAATGAACTCCCCATCATTAGGAATGCTGCCTCTCTGGATTATTTAAAAAAACTTTTATTAATTAATTTGTAATTAATTAATTTTATAATTATTTTTTATTAATCTATTAATTATTTTTTATTAATCTTTTATTGTTGTGCTGTTTTGCTTGCCTTGTGTTTTAGTATTTTGCCTTTAGCGCTTTGAGTATAAGAAAAGCGCATTACAAATAAAATGTATTATTATTATTATTATTATTATTATTATTATTATTATTATCATTCATTCGTTCGTTCATTCATTCATTCATTCATTCATTCATTCATTCATTCATTCATTTATTCACTTTCTTGTCGGCTTAGTCCCTTTATTAATCCGGGGTCGCCAAAGCGGAATGAACCGCCAACTTATCCAGCAAGTTTTTACACAGCGGATGCCCTTCCAGCCGCGACCCATCTCTGGGAGACATCCACATACACTACGGACAATTTAGCCTACCCAATTCACCTGTACCACATGCCTTTGGACTGTGGAGGAAACCGGAGCACCTGGAGGAAACCCATGCGAAGGCAGGGAGAACATGCAAACTCCACACAGAAACACCAACTGAGCGAGGTTCCAACCAGCAACCCAGCAACCTTCTTGCTGTGAGGCAACAGCACTACCTACTGCGCCACTGCCTCGCCCATTATTATTTTTATTATTATTATTATTATTATTATTATTATTATTATTATTATTATTATTATATGTGGGCCATGTACATTTAGCCTGTCTTGACCCACATTTAAAATACATTAAAATAATGTTTCAGTAAAGAAAAAAAAAATACCAATGTGGTAGCTTCAAGTAAAAAACGCCCATAGTGTGCCTAAAGTGCAATACTTCATGGGTTTATCAATTTCATTGCAATCATGACACACCAACCTATCTGGCCTAGTTCAGGCCCAGTTATGAGTTATCAACTTGGCTGTGACTTGACCAGACTTCACTAGATATGGTCCATGTTTGACCCCTCTCTGAAGGACAGACTTGATCCAGGCATGTAGCGTAATTCACTTCAGCATGTGGACCAAGCAAAACCTGATTGTGTGGGCCAGAGTTGGGCCAGAGAAATTTTGCTATGTGGGTATGCTCTATCAGTAGAGAAAATAATTGTAGCTATCTGCTAGCCAAATAGTTATTTAAACATGCAGGCTTTTTAACCTTTAACAATGCTTTGTTAACATTTTATTCAAATCAGTCATGAAATAAAGGTTAAAACAACAATAATAGCAAATGACAATAGACTTGACTAAGAAATGATATTGGCATTTGTTGAGATGCTCTCGGGGAGAATTTGACCTTTTTTCTCTTTTCATACATTTCAACATGTTATCATTTCCCCCTGCAGCTGTAATCAAATATATCAGCTTGTTTATTTTCCTTTTCTTCCTCAAACAATAACCCAACCCCAAACAATTCAAATGCTACAGATTGGCATATGCTTAGTGACATTCAAACGATATGTACACAGAATACAAATGTTTTTGCAGCAAAAACAATAGAGGATCAAAATACATAAATCCAGAGGTTTCCTTTCAAAGAAAGTTTTGAAAAGAGATTATTTGGTATTCTTTAAAAACAACAAGGAATGTTTTAATGCAATTGGTTTCAACTTGAAAATGCTGGAAATATCAGGGATGAAGGGAATACTGAATTAAGCCACAGAGGATATGTGGCTTGACCACTGGTTTAGTTTTCTTGGTTGACTGCTCTTGTTTTTATCCCATTCAGGATCCCCATCAACACAGACTCTCTGTAGATGTGATTCCTGAGTTGCGAAATGCAGAAAACTACTGTCGTAACCCAGGCGGAGAAAGTGACAGACCCTGGTGCTACACTACAAACCCTAATGTACGCTGGGAATATTGTCTGGTGCCTAAATGTGGAGAAGGTATGTCATTTATGTCTCATATATTATCCATACTGAGTGCTAATCCTTTATTCAGATAAATGTCATTACAAAACTTGTTCCAAATAATCTGAGTTAATATTTTTGTTCCATTCTTTAGTTATCAGTATCAGGACTGCACCCTCAATTACAAAACCTGCCCACTTCTACCCTCCTCCTTCTGTGTCTACGGCCTACTCAATGAGTGTTATCATCTTTGTTATTGCTGGCTTTGCTGGAGCAGCCTTCTTCACCGTACTCATCCTTATGTGTCACAGACGAAAGAAAATGTGGAAAAAGAGGAAAAGGTAGATAATAGACTGTATAGTCACTTACTAAAATCACTTGAAATTGTAAAAGTTTTAAGACTCAAATTCCAAGAGGGGAGATTCATGAGGGTCGCTGTAAGAGATATGTTGTGCTACGTACAGTATGTTCATTTTGCTGGTTTTAGTTGGTGATGAAATAATATTAGCACTAAACCAACATTCTCAACCAAAGTCCTAACCCTAAATCCAACCAGACCATATAAAATTACTGTAGTCTAGAAAATTGATTTCCAACTCTGCTTCTGGGGAGCTATCATTCTGGGCTACCATTGTATTTCATTTTCAAAGTTTCAACAAAAACCCAAATTAAAACCAGCTAGTCATGTTTGATTCAGATACTTACAATCAGGTGTGCTGGAGTAGCATTGGCACTGAAATCTGCAAGTATGTAGCTCTCTATAAGTAGGTTTGAAGATTACTGATCTCTCCAGGGGTAGCCAACTAGTCTCCTAGAGCATAGAGTTTGCAATCCAAGTGCTGAAGAACTGCCAGCTGTGGATATGTTGTTTTCATAACCAAACAAACCCAAATTAAACTCTTTAGCTTGATAGTAGGCTTAAGAAAGACATCTTAAATGAGTTGTGTTCTGAGTTCTCTGGGACCAGGTCTGGAAACCACTGTGTTGGATAGCTACAATCTTTGGCTCACTTACAAAATCGTATCCGAACTGTGCCCAAACACGTTTCTGGGTTCTTTGACAAGTGTGAGTGCTCTGAATCAGGCTCAGGCATGGTTCAGTTGGCCAGCCCTGGCCTGGTTGAAAGGGGTGTGCCAGAGCGCAGTTCGAAACTGAAAATGCGACATCACTTTTTGGGGACTTTTTCATATGGATTTATTAAACATTCTTACTTTTCAAGGAACGCAAACTGTCATAGTTTATTAAAAACAAACTCTTTGCTGCACGACAGCTGCAACTTCAGCAAACCTCCTAATATGTGCAGCATGAGGACTTTTATGGTAATTTATAAGCATCAAAAGTTGTGGATCTGTTCAGCAAAATATTTGACTGTATGTCAATGCATCCCAAATGACAAAAAATAATAAAAAACAAAATAACTAAAGCAATCTCCATTGTAAAGAGCCAGAGCCTTTTCTTCTTGTTAAACTGAATAGTAGCATCATCTATGACATAAGTATGCTCCCACTCGGATGCAATGTGAGTTCAGGCCGTCAGAGTAGATGGGAGGGGGCACAAGCATGCTTCGGCATGGTTTAAGGTAACATCCCTAGTGAGAGTACACCCTTAAACCCCGCTCAAACTGTGCAATTGTCAATAATACCGTATGACTGCAGCTTGTCAGACTGCACAAACATTATTCTCATGTCACACTGTAAGATCGCAGTTGTCAGAGTGTCAGACAGAATGACAATGAAGATGTGCGAAACACAGACAAGTGCAAGAAAACCCATCCAGAGTTTGACGAAATTGATTCGTGACACATTCAATAACCCAGGTTCTGGAAAAATTCCCTTACAGATATCGTAAACAATATAGTGTAATTATGCTCACACATGCCTTAAGAATAAAACCAGAAAAAAAAAGCTTACTGAAGTAATTTGAGGTTGCCATGCTTCTGACGCCATGTCATCAGATTCAACACTCTTATTGGTTCTTGTTTTGACGCTTGTTGAAGCTGAAGTGACACTGCAGGAATATGTCTGACATTGTCTGACAGTGAGAGAACTTTATTGGAGGGAACATTTGATCACAACGGCCATTCAATTATTTTTAGTGAACATCTCAAACCAACGATCAAAGAATATAGAGTTTAGCTTAGGATAACAGGAGTCTTAAGTCTGCTCACACCAGACGCGCACATGCATAAATAGATACATGAACATTTTGAGTTTTCTTGCTTCTTACACACATCAAATTTTGCTTCATTCGTGCATCAAATTCACTTCACAACAGACAAGGATTCACATCATGGGCAGGGCTTCTGCTTCATTGCTAAATGGCTAATGTGGATTTTATTGAGAGAATAGCTGTGTTAATGTGCTTTTGGAAGCCTAAAAAACTGTGTATATTGGTTCGCGGTTGTGTCTCAGTCCACTAGATCCTTTCAGAGGTATACCCAGCTCTTTGAGTTCAGAGCTGAATTTGTGCCACAGGATGTCTATTCACACTTTTGCATTTACTTCAGTTCCAACCTTATGTAAACATTCATGAACCAGCTAATTGGGGTGTTCAGAATCACCTGAGAGGATAACGTGTTTAAGGAGGACTGGACATTAATTAATTAAGAATATAGCCCTACAGGAGCAGAGTTGACAATGGTCTATAGGAGATCTTTAATTTTGCTCCCAAACCCATGCTTGTAAAGCCCAAGTAATTCTGGAGATCTTAGTTGTCTTCTTTCTGCAAGAAAGGGGCTCTCTAGATGCTCCACCAAGAGTAGAACACCCTACATGAGGACAAAAATTGTACTTGTGGTTGCTTTGAAAGTTACATTACAGTTTTAACTAAATACCTCAAAACTAAACAGTTGTTCTTCCATATTCAGTAGGGTGCTGGAGACACCTACATTGACCACCCTCCCCTCAGAGCTCTTGTTGGACAGACTTCATCCCAACCCCATGTACCAGCGACTGCCTCTACTGCTTAACTCCAAGCTCCTCAGTCTCGAATATCCACGCAACAACATTGAATATGTCCGTGATATTGGAGAGGGGGCCTTTGGGAGGGTGTTTCAGGCGAGGTGAGAGCTACAAATATTACAAGCAAATGGTGCTAATTTCTGTCCTGATTTGGCACTGTCAATATTTATACAGACACTTCATTGCATGTCTTTTTTAGCATGGATTCATCAAAGTGAATTTTTACAAATAATTATTGAATTCTGTCCAGTTTTGTGAGTAATGATTAAACTTTTAGAAACTTTTTACTAACTCACCAACTAGATTTGAGACAACCTGATCCCAACCTGATGCAAAGGGCTGACATATATAGACCAGACGGCAACATACTGTAATTATGATATCAGGTACATAGTGACCCCAGGGAAATTCATCAGTGGGTAAAAGCTATACTCCATATGGCTGTATCCTGAAATAGGATCTTGGATAGGTCTAGTAAACATGTGATGTGTTTCAATATGAAACTTCCCTGTAGACTCTATCGTGTGAGCAAAGCACTGCAGCAGAGGTTATTTATAGACGCCCATTAGAAAAGTGTTTACTTCTCCAGGAACACACAGGAGCCTTTAGCACAGGAAGTGCAATCTTAATGGAATTCTAAGTTGGTTCTTGAATTTCTGCCATTGTGGTTCTGTTTCCACAGCTTGGCATCACTATTTAAAATATTTTAAAAGGCTTTAAGACAATTTGTTACAATGTGTTTAGGGATGTCTGGTTTGAGATCACTAAAGGTGGCCTACTACTGCACGAAGCAAAGTGTTTACCATTACAGTGAATATTGTATATACTGACAACCCAGTTTTGCAGGCTTGTGTGTTCTTGAGTACTTTGGCTCAGACTATTCTGCCTACTACATTATTATAGACGTTTCTCAAATTATTGGAGTTACAAGTTTGCATTGTACATATATTTTAAGGAAGATCAGCAAATATGAACTAAAACTGTTTTACTCTAATTCAAGTAAGCTGTTGCTACTAGTTCCTAATATGCTTGCTTTCCTTTAGAGCCCCAGGTCTTTTGCCAACGGAGCCCTTCACCATGGTGGCAGTAAAGATGTTGAAAGAGGAAGCTTCAACTGATATGCAGAATGACTTTCAACGAGAAGCTGCACTCATGTCTGAGTTTGATCACCCCAACATTGTCCGTCTCCTGGGTAATGTATCACAACTGCTTGCTTTCAAAGAAAGCAAAAATCTGCTTGAGGACTTTCCTAAAATGAACCACATCTGCTTCATATTACATGTATGTCCTTTCCTCAAGGGTACCGCAATCAAAAAGAAAAGCCTTAAAATAGCTTGACTCATCCATTTCAGTGTTGACCCAATGTGTAACCCCGCATCAGTCCCCTCTCTGGTATTCCGGAACCAGACTCAATGCCTCATTAAGTGTTAGAATAACAGAAGTGTATTTTTGGTTTGGTATCGACAGTGTGACTAAGCCAGTTGTTTGTGTATCTGTCATGCAGGTGTCTGTGCAGTGGGGAAGCCCATGTGTCTCATGTTTGAATACATGGCATATGGGGACTTGAATGAATTCCTGCGACGGCGCTGTGCAACCCAGCAGCCCAGTCTAAGTCGGGATACCTTGACTTCCAGCAGTCTCGTGTCAGAACCTGAGCGTTACCCACCCCTCAGCTGCCAGGAGCAGCTCTCCATTTCCAAACAGGTGGCAGCAGGAATGGCGTACTTATCGGAGCGCAAATTTGTCCACCGTGACCTTGCTACTAGAAACTGTTTGGTAGCAGAAAACTTGGTTGTGAAAATTGCAGATTTTGGTCTCTCACGCAATATCTATGCAGCTGATTACTACAAAGCCAGTGAAAATGATGCCATCCCGATTCGCTGGATGCCACCAGAATCTATCTTTTACAATCGTTACACCAGCGAGTCAGATGTTTGGGCTTATGGTGTGGTATTATGGGAAATCTTCTCATATGGCATGCAGCCTTACTACGGCATGGCCCATGAAGAAGTCATCTACTACGTAAGGGATGGAAATGTTCTTTCCTGCCCAGAAAACTGTCCACAGGAGCTGTATAACCTCATGCGTTTGTGTTGGAGCGGTCACCCCACTGACCGGCCTAGTTTTGCCAGCATTCACCGCATCCTGGAAAGAATGCATGACCAGATGCTCAAATCTGGTCTTTCTTGAGGATCTCTAAAATGCAGCTCCAATCATTAAGGAACTCATTACAATCCAAAGTAGCCCAGAGAGGTCATGAAGAAGCATAAAACACTTTATTGTATGCTCAAGAGGGCAAGCCGGAGGACCTTTTAGGGTCCCACAAATACCCAAGGACCCAAAAGAACATTGGGGAATGGGAAAAAAGCCTTAAACGATTGAAAAGGCTCACATACCTTGATCCCTCAAACTCTTTGAAGCTCAATAGTTTTTTTCTTTTTTTATGGCACAGATGTATGGTGGAGCTCAAATGAGAGCTACAGTAGTGAAGGCTTGAGGTTCATATCTTGAGAATTTCTGTAATCACCGGGTAATAATATACCACTTCAGTCTAAAATGAAATCTCTGCAAGCAGAGACATATAGTATAGTATTTTTTGCTTTTGTCTTCCCTTTGGATATATTTTAAGTAGTGAAAGTACTATTCATCTAGATATAGTTTTGTAAAATTCTTAAAAAGACATTCATTCAAGAACATGTTTCAGTGCTTTAACGTATAGACTGTTCTCAGCATTTCATTAAAAAAAAAAAAAAGTAGAATAGTATATTCCAAAGTGGCACATCATCACTTTATTTTATGCTTTGTTTTTTGTTTCACATTGATATTCCAAGATAAGATCTTTGTTTGTTTTGTTTTATTTGTTAGTAGTAAGTAAAACAGTGTAGTATGTAAATATGTAGCATACTTTATTTGTAAAATGATTTCATGAGTTAACCAAAATGTATTATGATATTGTCAAAGAAATGAAAACAAACAGACTGACTGACTATAATGGTTCAATCAGTTTTATTTTGACAAAATCCTATATAAAGATTTGTGGAATTTATATAGTTTATTACTAGTTTTCAGGTTATTTAGAAAATAAGGTCAATGTCTCTGAGATAACTCAAATAGAAGTAAGATCTCAAGTACTAACCAAAAGTTCTATATATTAAAGTGGGTATATAACAGTACACATTATAACAAATTCTACAACAACTTGACTTCACTTCAGTTCAGCCAGTCCAAACTTTAGGCAGATATTTTGACACTATATCAGAAACAAAAATACTTAGAACATGTGCTATTGCACATGCATAGCATGACTTTTATAGTTATAATAATGTTATCATTATATTATTTCATAATGTTAGCAATCTATTTTAATACTGTGGTTACATTAGATGTATGAATAGATGTTGGATATGAATTTTGTTTGAAATAAAACAATTTCTTTTGTCTTGAATACATATTCATAAATAAATACACAGCTCTACCATTTAAAAAGCAACACTGTGCTATATAGTCACAGTAACTGAGTTAACTGCAATAATATTATTGAGATTTAAAAGCAATCAATAGTCTACAGCAGTTGTTCCCACGTGGTCAGGACCCCCTGGAAGCGTCGCGGAACAATGACAAGGGGTCGCTTGGTCATTTCCATAACTCAAATAACTTTTATTAAACTATTAGAATTACCATATTTTATTTATAACCCACTGAAGAAAGTTAAATTACATTTCTTTGTGGAGTTTGCATGTACTCCAAAAGTCCAAAGATGTGTGGTATAGGTGATTTAGGTATGCTAAAATTGACCAGTGTGTGTGTGTGTGTGTGTGTGTGTGTGTGTGTGTGTGTGTGTGTGTGTGTGTGTGTGTGTGTGTGTGTGTGTGTGTGTGTGAATAAAGATGTATAGATGTTTCCCAGTAATGGGTTGCAGCTGGAAGGGCATCCACTGCGCAAAACTTACGCTGGATAAGTTGGCGGTTCATTCCGCTGTGGTGACCCCAGATAAATAAAGGGACTAAGATGGACAGAAAATGATTAAATGAATGAATGAATGAATGAAAAAAAATGGTTATTAGATTGTTGCAGTTTTGTGTTGTTAATATGCTCATGTTTATAAGTATGCCTATTGTTGTGTGCAACTTTTGGAGATTTATAACCACCTTCTAGAAAAAAAAAAGGGGGTGAGTCACTGACACTGTTATTTTTGGGGTTGCGGGCTGAAAGGTTTGGGAACCCCTGGTCTATGGGACTTTTGTGTTTCCAAATAAATATTGAGTTTTATATCATGTAACAGACAGGGGGCAGTGTTACATCACAAGTACTAAAACGACCTCGTGATTTATAGCAATACCTTTTCTCTGCGTTAGGGCCAGTTTCTTGCTCAAAGCATTCAAAACAGGAACTTACTGAGACAG